GTGTGGGTTAAACAAGGGCTGGGATCAGCCGCCATTTACTAACAGAGGGCTGGTTTTCAAAAATGACAGTACATTAAAAAATGAAAGATTAGGTAGCTGTGAATAAACCACAGTTTGAATTTGTAATTGACACAGAAAATGGTGCGTATGTAGCATGAAGAAACAGAAGGCTGTAAACTGTGGGAATAGCTTGTTCCTTTCCGGTTTAAAAAGAGGTCCTTTAGCTGTAACAGGGAATGCTGTAGGAAGCTGCAAAGCGATTGTACCTGGGTGGCGGGGGGATGAATCCCCCCCACACATTTTTGATGACCATGGGCTGACTATGCAATAAAATCTTTGCAAACTCGCTGCAGACCTGTGGTTCTTAGCTCTAAGAAGCTAGGACCCAGGAAAAGGCCCTCGGGCTCTGCCTAGATCCCGGAAGCCCGGGCCGGACTCCCGCCCAGAACCCCGAGCCGACAGCGTGCAGCACACGGCTCCAGCCTGGGACGTTCACTGTGTCCCCTGCATCGCCGGCCGTGAAAGGTCGCAGTGATCTGAGCAGCAGATATTTCACTGCAGTGACGCCCGTAACGGTGAGAATGAGGACCCTAAATATGCAACAATAAAGGATGGCAGCTGAGCGTCTGACACGGAAGGATATTCGTGATACATCAGGGTGCTTACAGCAGGCGACAGGGCCAGCTGTGTCACACACCACAGGGAGACCATCCCCACGCCCTCGCAGACAGCAAGTGGACTTCCTGGGGTGATGGAACTGCGTCTCCACGTGGGACGCCGAGTCCCTGCGCTGCCGGCTTTCCTCCTTACGAACGCGCATGGCTGTTACTGTACCTTCCCGCTCTCCTTCCACTTAGCTTTTCTTCATCGGGCTCAAGTCAGCCCACATAACAGGACTCCATTTGTGCAAACACACAGTAAGTGTGCGACACAATCAAGACCAGACACGCGCCGCCCCAGGGGGGTTCCGGGGCTGCACTGGTTTTTATGAGTTCCTCAAGTTCTCATTACGCATTTATTATGTTAGTAACTAAAGAACACATTCCCCATTTTCTAAGGGAAAAAGGAAAGCTAACAAATTCACACACCTCCTTTTTCCTTTCTTAAGGAGACTTGAAGAAGCCCCTCAGACCTACTCTAGTCTCACCTGAGAAACTTTAAG